GGGCGGCGGTGGGGCGGGAGCGGCCCCTCGCCTGGGTCTCTGAGGGACGGCGGGGTCTTTCTCTTGCAGGAGTCGCTGTATTCCCTCGCTCTGAAATGCCTTATTAGCCTCTCCACGATTATCCTGCTCGGGCTCATCATCGTGTACCATGCAAGGGAAATCCAGGTAACGTTTCCTTCTGCGGGCCGGTGAGCGTTGCTGGCGTGGCTGGGGTGCGAGGCGGTTTGTCCAGGGGCGCAGCGGGGGTGCATACTGGGCGCTTCCCGCTGGTTCAGAAAGCAAAAGCGATCGCCGCGCACTTCCCGAAGTTGGGTGAGTGGACCTCAGCCCTGGAGAGAAACACAGCGGGCGTATACGTGCCAGGGAGCTCTGCCTGCTGGGGACTGTTGCCTGCAGTTATGCTATAGGATCGCTTAGCGCTGAGGGTATAACACGCTTTCTCGGTGACATGCCTGCCGTCTTCTGTAGCAGATGTACAGCAACAGTCTCTTATTTCCCAATGACTAAATTTCATGCTGTGCGTTTTCTCGATGGCAAGGTTAATTATCTTCACCGTGCAAGGTATGTAATCTTCACTGCGCTGTCTTAGATACGAGCATACTCCAGGAGAATGTTTAAGAGGAGGGGGAAGACTTATGTTCGACTTGTTTTATTTAATGCTGAACAGCCACTAGGAATGTGACAGAGGAAAACTGTCAAGAAAGGTAGGGCGAAAGGTAGGAGGAACGTACTGATCAAAGCTGTAGAGTAAGTCTCACAAATACTGTCACAGGTTCTGTCCGAGGGACTTAGTTCTCATTTCAGTTGTGATTTTTTTGACCAAGAAATTAAAATTTGGAATTTCAGCTCAGCTGAAACATACAACAGATAGATTTCAAAGTTTTGAAGGGAAAAATACCTTACTCGTAGATACATTGGTGCTTGTGGTTTTTCAGATTAGTTAGAGATACCTTGAGCTACAAGCTGAAATGACAGCTTTCAAGGGCAAAGAAGACTTTCTCACTGGTACCAATCAGTAAAAAAAAAAAAAAACAAACCACTTAAAATAAAATTAATTAGTACCCTGCTTCTGTGCAAATGAATGCTGTAATTTCAATGTGGAATGGTACCATAGTCTCCTACTTAGGGTAATGTTAGAGAAGTATTATGTTACTGAAGACTCTTTGCCAAATTGGATCCTGTTGTGCAGTCCTTGCACATGCAAAACTTCTGTTCCTGGCTCAGAACGCAGTTTCTCTGCATTAATATCAAAGATATTGAAAGCTGTTTAATGATATTGTACTCAGTAAACAAGTGTTCTCATGAAAGAGTATCTTTATAAACTACTGGAGTACTAATGAAGAGGTTTCTTTATCTGTATAAAAATAAATAAGTGGTGCTGCTGCAATGTGGGAACCTTCTTCTCTGCTATATCTTCCCACAAGTGGTGCTTGAGGCATGAAGAGCAAAGCTGAAAAAAAATCTCTGTAAACATTTGAATTACACTACTAATTTTCCAGAAACTTTAAATGGAAAATTTTATACAAGATAGACAACTAGTTGTACGTCCCTGTATGCATCAGCTTATACTAAATAGTTACTCCAAGATTCAGCTGGGATTTTTTTTCAGCTAAATAGTTACAAATTTTCATTCCCTTAGGAGTGTGTTATGGATCAGAAAAAAACAGTCTTAAAGCAATAAAGTTGTAATTCTGGTTTTTGTTTTTTTTTTTTATTGACAGTTTTAAAGAACTTCTTCATGTATGCGACTACATGGAAGGAGTTATGCAATCGTGTGACTTAATCAAGGTTAATGTAGTTTTCAGTGCTGCCTGACAGTACAAAACACAAGCATACGTGCCTGTAAAACAGCGATACTCTATGGTTTTGTCTGAGAGACACCAAAAACTGCAGTAGTCATGGCAGGGCCTGGAGTGAGCTACAGCTTCAAGAGGCTCTGTCATTTGTCTTGAAAATGAAAAGAAAGTTCTCTTTTTCAAGGAGCCTGTTAGAAGGAAAGGGCATAGTACCACCCTTAGCTGTTAGATGTCGGATAGTTTTTTAATTTCGTCTCAGTCTGTTATGGTACACACACTTGACTTTTAAAAATACGGTGAAGAACATGCAGAGCAAAGTTTACATCCATCTATGGTCATAAATTTATGTTCCACTTGACATACACACTTGAAAACAAGAAGTACCTTTAAAATACTTGGCTTCGGAATGTAAGGAAACTTCTCCAGGCAAAAGAAATTACTGCGTAACCCTGATAATGTAATGGCTTTTAAATAATTTTTAAAGCTGACTGTTTTCTGAAGGCACACTTGCCTTTAATTCAAGCAAATATCCTGCTAGGTGCAGCAGAATGAATCACGTCTGTAGAATCATGCCCACAGATGGTTAGTTGTGTCCTGCAGGACTATTTGCACCAGCTATTTGTCAGTCCTGTTCAAGATTGAACATTCCTTTCTAATTCTTCTCTGAAGCGTACTTAGGCTTTACCAGTGGGTATAGTGTAAATAAGCAGGAACTCGTTGGGAGAAGAAAAACTCTTCCATAGAACAGAAGAAGGTCCATGTATTCTGCTTGCAGTGCAGTATGTTTCATACTCCGGTGGAAGCAGACCAACCTAAACATAAGTAGATTTTCCTACAAAGCGTGAGACAAAACATGGGAAATAAAAAGATGACTGTTTAGTAATTATTAGTGATTGCAGATTTAATATTTAGAAACTCCTGGCGACCTAAAATGCTGGCAAATGTAAATCAGCTTTTTCGGTCATTTCAGTAGTCTGTGACCTTGGTTTATTGGTAGGAAGTCCGAACGGTCATGTTGCAAGCAAGTCTATGGCTGTGCCTAACAGCATAGCAGGTGAATCTAGCCTTTCCATTAAAATGACCTTGCCCATATGTTTTGCTTCGAAAATAATCAGCCAGTCAGTTCAACCAAACTCGAGAGCTTGCCCGTCCCAGACCTGCTGAATTTAAGGGAGTTGGGAGGGACGTTTATAAAGATTCTTTAAGCGTTTCATCCCAAAAGCCGAGAGTAAAATATCGGCGTGAGATGAATGAGTTTCCTTTTCCATCTTTCCCCCCGCTTGGACCGCGGTGGGTGTGGGGTGGAGGAGCTGGAGCCCCCCCAGCCTCTCGGGAGACCTCTTAGCAAGGCGGCTTGGGTTTTGAATCCCCTGGAACGTGCCCACAGCTCTCCACCTGGCAGGCCAAAGTCTCCAGAAGGGTGTAGCTGCAGTGTTTAGACGAGAATAACGGCGTGGATGCTGCGTAGTCTTGTGAAATGCTGGAAACGTTGGAATGTTTTCATCACATAGGTTTTCAGTGATCGCGCTGTTATTCCGTATAACTTTAAGAATAAAGCAGGAGCTGTTATTAAATTTAATAAATGTGGGTTAGCACTAAGACTATAATAAAAGTCAAATGAAACCAGGTGTATTTAAATGACAACTCATAGTTTACATTATCATTTCCAGAAAAGAGGATAGAAATTATAAGCAACTTTCCTTCATATCCCTCCCCCTCCTAGAAAAAACCCTAAATGAACAACAATAATGATGTTGGAGTTGAGGATAGTGACAACCCCAGATCTGTGTGTTCTCCTTTTGGTCCATTGTTGTCATGCCTGTAATGCTGTTAAAAACATCATGCTTGGGAGATTATGAAATATGCATTGCTCTCTCTCCAAGCTTGTGTGGTTGTTGATTCAGTTCCACAGCGCAAGTGCCCTGTGTTTGGAAGATCAATGGGAAAAGCGTAATTCATCGTTATCCCAGCCTAGAACAGGTATTTCTCTGACTATTACTCCTCCTGAGAGTTTGAAGAGGTATAGGAGGGAAGAGCTAAGATAGCAGGATCCAGTTATCATCATAATTTCTGATGTATAAATTACCCACTTCATGCATAAACAGTTTGTTACTTAATACTATTTTACATAATTAAAGCAGCAGCATGGAACATGGTTAAAATTGTAGTTCCTAGACAACTTATTGTTCCGTTCTACATTTCTCTAGCACAATTTGCTGTTAGATCAATAAATAAAGTGGAAGAAATAAAGACCTCTCTGTCTCTCTCTTGTACTGCTGGAGACAGAAATGCTTTCTAAGTATGCACTCCTGAAGTTCTACTGGCACTTTCTTGTATTACTCAGAGCAAAGGATTAAAATCAAAATTCTCTGAGGTTGCCAGTAAGAGGTCTTTAATGTCTTTTGTTGGGCATTCCACCATAGCCTGTTATTTCTTGAGAGATATATCCACTGCAACACTTTTCCTTTGATGCTGGACTGCTTAGTGTATCCCTTCTGTAAATAAACATTGCCCTTCTATTGCCTGTCGTGAATAATAGTAACTTGAGTAATGCTAACCTGTGCTCTCCTGGACAGAATCTGAACCTCTTTTCTTTTTCCCTGATACAGATGCTCTCACTCATGCAGAAACATGAAAGTTGTTGGTATTTGGTAGAAGTGAATAGAAATCTTCATTTTTTTCTATGTCAGCTGAGATTTCTAACCACTTCTAAAATGTATTGCTAGTTCATACTTAGGTAGAACGTCTGTGGAAAGTCTTGCAAACTCCAAGGTTAAGGTTAAGCCATTGCTTTCACAGCAGAACCTCCCAGGGCTCCAGGGAGAAAGCACCTTCAGTCACTAGATGGTTCTGAAGTGGTGGGAAAATAATGTGCTACTGATGGATTTGGAGTGAAACACTTCCAGTCTTCATGAACTTTATGGAAAGTTATCACAGCAGAGAGCCCAAATATCTTGCTGAAGGATCAAGGATCTTTTCTTCTTTTCCCTGTTTCTGAAAACTTGAAGAAATGGAACAGGCAGAATTAGGAAACAGCAAAGGATAGTAATAAACACATATCTTGACCTGTTAATTATGCAAATAAATTCCATAATGCATGATAGTAATAAACACTCTTTACAGGAGTTTCATTATCTTATTGGTATCAGTGGAAAGTTCTGCAGTAAAAATTTTGTGCTCATGAACAAATATGAAGTTAAGCTCCCTTACAGTTTCCTGTTATAAGAAGTAACAGGTATTCTGCAGGCCAAATTATTTATTTGTTTTTTTCTATATTGTTGTTTTGCCTTCACTGGGGTGGTACCTGTGCATCTCATTAGCTGCCTTGTTGGCATTCTGTTGACTCTGTACTGAGTCTAACTTGCCTTT